AATCATCCAATATTAGATCCGACTAATGTACCTTTGAATAGTATTTCGCGGTTCGTGATATTATAAACGAATCTAAAATTATGTAGACACCTGTCACAGTGTATTTAATTAAAATTTCAAATTATCTAAATGTAATGTACAAAGACTGAAATTACCCTCTGCTCCCCTTTTATTTATTCATAAATTTCTAAAATTTCATTGTTTGCATCTTTAGAGAAGAATTCAGAAATGTATCATTTATTTATTAACCCTAGGTTCTAAATTATTCATGTAATGTTAGTATGCACAACATTGTGCATGCTGCCAATTTATTAATTTATTTATTCATTTCATATATATATATATATATATATAGAGAGAGAGAGAGAGAGAGAGAGATAAAAATCCATTTTTACAATAAATAACGAAAACTAATATTAATATGGTCAGAGAATCAGCACGACACAGCAATTACGTAAATAGTTTAATAATTCCAGTGGGAGTTCGATAACTTAAAAAAAAAGGTCTGCAATTCTCAGAAATTAGTAGCAGAAAAAATATAACGAATATTCAGCATAGCTTCACATCGATCAAAAGACATTTCAAAATGGATTGCATGTAAAATCGTCAATTTATGTAAATGTCTCATCCACTGTGAATTCGGGAAAATATCGACGGCCATAAGACACTCGGAATAAATTGATGTTGGCATGGAAGCATTCTGTGCACTGCCAAAATCCATAAGATGTGTTTTTCACAAATCGAAAGCCAGCTCTAAATCATATCTTTGTTTTCTGACCGTTCCAAGGACACTTCCCTGCATCCTAAAATCAAATTAAGACTCGACTTGGCCAAGTAATACCAAAAACGAGAACTTAAATCGATTTTCTACTATTTTGGAGATCCGTTTGCATCAACACCGTCGTTCTCTTTTATTGTCGCGCGGTAAAATCGGAAAAGATTAGTGTTAGAATAAAATCGTCATAAAAAACATGAAAATACTTATGTCTCATTATGCAGAATAAATATTTTGCATTATAGAAGTGAATATAAATTGTCCTGGCCTAAATTACATCAATTCACGAATAACACATAAGAGTAAAATATTGTGTTGACAACTAAGTAATTGCCGATTTGTTTAATGAAATAAAAAATTTCTTTTTACTTGGAATAAAGTTTAAGCTGTAATGTATTTTCCATTTTGTTCGATGACCTTTTGCCATCTCTCTGACAACTTGAAAATTCCACGCTCGTAGAAAGTCTGATCCTTTTCGGCCAAAAACTGAGTTAAGTGAGATTTTACAGCGTCATCATCGTTAAAAGTTTTACCACGAAGGGAGTTGTCCAGCGATCGAAATAAGTGTAACATCGATTCCCAACCAATATCCATCAATTTTTGCCGAGTGGACAAAGACGTGTGCGGC